GTAACAATAGTCTGGAATGTGTATAGGGATTGGACATGTTGGGGGGGTACCCCTCGGTCTCATTTCTTGCTGGGTATAACTAACTTGAACACTGACAAGGTATTCCTATGCACTGGTAGACCTTCACTTTCCAAAAAGTGAGCTGAAAATGAGTGCTACACGTATTTCAGGTCAGTAACTGGGGCCAACAAAGGCATTGGTTTTGCCATTGTGAGGGTGCTGTACTGCGTGCAAGCAGCTGGACAATGGCATCTTCTACCTGACTGCCAGGAATGAGGGAAGGGGGAGGGAGGCCGTGGCCAGACTCAATCAGGAGGGGCTCCAGCCTAATTTTCATCAGCTGGGTATCCGCTGGGGTGAGGCAATTGAGGGATTTCTTGAAGGAGTCTACACTTTGGCATATTGATTTCTTGGTTTGATCAATCTCTCGACTATGGTTATATACTGAGAATGGGTCCTGCCATGTTTCTGTGGGGGCCAAAACTTGACCCACCCCTATGAGCCGCATGCATCTACTGGGTATTCAGTCCAGATTTTTTTCCATGCATGTTTGCCCCTTGTTCAGGCTAGTCAACCTCTCAAGCTTCGCTGGGCAGTTTGCGTATGAGAAGATGAGCGATGAGGTCAAAGGTCGTTTCCAGGCCGGACAGTGGAGGATGTGGAGGCACTCATGAAAGACTTTGTGGAGTGAGTCGTATTTGAAGAGAGACTAATTTTCAAGAAAAAGCAAAAAGAGGTTTGTCAAGGGAATTTTACGGAAAATCTGCAGACGAAGTTAAAGGTTGTATATGGAGTGAGGTCAGGGATTTTGAACATGTCTTTGGAAAATGTTAGGAAAAGTACACAAAAAGTGGAAAACTACTGATCTTAGGAAATACTATAGAGCCTGAAAGTTGACCCCTGACGGTGCGCTTCTGTAACTCTTGGATAGAAGAAATCACGTTCAACAATTCTAGAATTTGTAATTGTTCGTTTGACTTTTCACCTCAGAAAGAGGCCTTTGTTAAAAACTAAAAAAATACCTGATCTACATGCACCAGAGAAATATCCTGCCAACATCTGACCTCTCACTTCTGATAATCTAAAATACAGAAAGACCAGTGGCCAGTGGTCTTGTATGCAGATGAACAGTTGCAAAATTATATGGTATTCTTTCGACAAAAGCTAAATCAAAAACAGATCAAACTAAGAAATGAACTTAAAAGAATGATCCGTATTTACGAAAGATTCTGATGTTTAATGACAACAGCTGTCAGGTCGACTCGACTGAATCTAGAACCCACTTTGACTCCAGGAAGACAAATCTTTGCAATGTTGTACAATCTCATTTTTATGTAGGCTCACGAAGTGAAAACAAAATGTGCGTGAACAAGGAGACCTAGGAACGATATTGCCGGAAGTGAAAGGTCGTTAACGAATTTCGTTGTTTACGCATCTCCGATTGACTTTTCAAAAATATTGTTTGAGAAAGACACAGGTAAAATCCAACATCAGTGTCCAAAGATTACCAAACGTGATAGGACAACCCCGTGTAAAATTCCCAGAGGCAGACCTCGCGAGGGTTCCGGAGGCTCGCTGCATGACCTTTTACTCTCAGGATCTATTGGCTATGAAACCTTGGAGAAATTGGCACCAAAGGGCAAAGTGGAAATTTACGGATTTTACGCATTTCCCACATCTCTTGATTTTGTCTTGTCAGGTGCGCCAGTGCTGGTGATGTGGTTGCTAAGGGCTGGACCGACAATGCGTACTGTGTGTCAAAGATGGGGGTCACACCAGTGACCAGGGTCCAAGCTGCCAACTTGGCCAAGGACGCTACCAAAGAGGACGTTGTTCTAACTTGGGTAAGTTTGTTGGGTAGATTGTCACAGGGGATGAAAGGGGAAGACAACACCTTTAAAAAAAAAATTGAAATCTGTCACCGTGGTTTCATTTGTACTTTATTCCTTCCTGTTTTTCTTCCTTTGAAAAACCTTTTCTAGATTTTCCTCACACTATTAAAAAGAATCAGTCCATTTCTAGGACATTTAAATTTACCTCCTTTAATTTCTTCGAAATGAGGAATATCAATTCTGTAACAGTGGAAGCATTTTTTCAGTCGAGTAACACCTTTGACATAAACTCTGGAAACCCAATTTCCACAAAAGTAATCCCGGATTGGTTTATGTTTATTGTGCACAAGTGTTTACCTGGCTACGTTGGGACGGATATTACCAACTACAAGGGGCTGCTGACAATTGATGGGGGCGCCATCACGCCAATCTACTGCGCGCGTCCTGCAGCCACCCGGCTCAGACCAGCTCAGTGGCAAGCAAGTCTACGAGTTCTGGTAGTACCACAGATATCCCAGTCAAGGTATTTTCAAATTATTTACAAAGTCGCTCTTCCTACTGTTGAGTTAAAGGAACCAGGAAATGAGTTTTTCTTAGAATCACCTTTTGTGTATCTCTGTACTCTTCTTCCATGTATGAAGACTGTTGGACATCTTTTTTGAGTTACGTGCACTGAATGGTGAATTTTTTCAAACATTAAAAATTGACCAAGCATATCTGGACAAGTGAGGGCGCTTTTGCTTTGATGTAAATCCAGGGAGACATGGTTCAAGACTTGCATGTTTTCATGTTCAAATTGTGAATCCCAAATTTGCAATCTGGGAACATTTCTGTGAAAAGGATTTTTGCTGGATTGTTGCCATATACGTACACAGACATAAGTTCCCAAAGAAAATAAAATCTGCCATAGCAGTGGTTAAAAAAATCTAGAAATTTTCTGTGCACAAATCAGTGCAACACTGAGATTCAGTGCCTTGGATGACATCATAGTTCTGCTCATGAATATGCAAATAGTATTAGCATAAAACAAAAAAGCATAAAAATATGGGTTAAAATTACAAAACTAAATTTCAAAATAAGGTTAATTGAAACCCAAAGATGCAATTTCAAGGGTTTGTTGTAAAATTTATAAAAATATTTCTATTTCCTGATTCCTTAAACACTTTCCAATCTCCCACACTTTGCCCAAAAAACTTCAAACAAAATGTTCAATTATATTTCTCATGATTCCCCCTCCTGAAAAGACAGAAAGCTCAACCACCAATCCAGTAAATGCATCACATAGAAAGTGGATACCGGCAAGAAAATTGCAACAGAATTTTCCAATCAAAGTTATCGTGCCACCATTTAACCAGGGCACGGTTAAATGAGCAAAAAATGTATTTGAAAATGCAGTCAGGTGGTTTTTAGTTCATTCTTCGACATGTATCTGACCTGACAAAAACCAGGACTTTGTTCCCTCACTCAAAATTGATTTTTTTATATAACCATTTAAAATTTGTCCAAAGGCCTCCCTTTTTTATTCACTTCGGCATGTCATTGGTGAAAACTTGAGGTAGAAAAGGCTGCTTTCAAAAAGTGTGGTGTACTTATTTTTTCCTGCTCTTTGTATAAATTAGTTTTACAAAAATGTATTTCATTTATCTCTTGGCTGTACATATCTCAGGATTTGTGAACACCGAGTTCCATGAACTCTTGGGTTTGAAAAACAAAATAATGTAATCAAACAAACCATGGCGTCTGTAAGGAATACTGATGGAGGTAAACAACAGAGTGCTTGAAAATATTTGTTTCTGCTCTTTGTATAAATTACTTTGACAAAAAAGTATTTCATTTACCTCGTGAGCTGTATTTATTTCAGGACTTGACAACACCGAATTTCATTTCAGTTTAAAAAACAAAATAATGCAATAAAACAAATCATGGCATTTCGGAGTGAACTTGCAATGAAAAATTTGGGGGTGAAAATGAAATATCAACCCGAGCTTGTTGACTCGATGGTCATATGGCGAAGTATCAGGGCCCGATCTCGATCAGTGATCCCAAAGCTGGTGTGTGCTATCCATCTTGCAGGGTTCTGGTGTCGATGAACCAACGTGGGATCACTGATCGCAGCCAATGGGGCCCGTTTGTTTCATGCGGACCCGGATTGTGATGAGCGACCCGACGTCGGTTCACTGACACCAGAACCCGCCTGATGGATGGTGTGAACCAGTGTTGGGATCACTGATTGAGATTCAGATCACTGATTGAGATTCAGATCACTGATTGAGATTCAGATCACTGATTGAGATTCAGATCACTGATTGAGATTCAGATCACTGATTGAGATTCAGATCACTGATTGAGATTTAGATCACTGATTTAGATTTAGATCACTGATTGAGATTCAGATCTGTGCGAAACAAACAGGACCCATGTGATGTTGTAACATACCAGTTGTCAAATGGGAGGGGGGTTTCAAATTTAGCCTGTGCCGACGCTCCTGATCCCTGGGTGCCCGAGGACTGGCTGACACCGCAGTCTCAGAAATCAAAGTACACTACCCTCTCCCTGTACATCTTGCCATGGGGCTCTGTGGTGCCCGGGGGTTGCAGGGCAAGGTAGACGGGGGTGTCGGCACCTTCGTCGATGGAGATCTCACCCTTGTGACTGGACATGTCCGTCCGAACATAACCAGGACAGCACTGGAGATAAATGCAGCAAGTGCCCTTTATAATGTGTGTTTATGAAATGATTTTAAAAGTACAATGAACTGTAGAAACTTTGAGCCCCCTGATTGGTACCTCCTTCCAACCTCTAGAGTTGGAATGGACATGGATGGACTAGGAACTGTCTATCTGACTCCCCAAGTGGCATCCATTTTATTGTGTGTGTGTGTGTTCGCCACAATGGAAGACTTGGAGACTCTCGGGGGCGGCAGATGAACTGGTCCTTTGTGCCAGTTCTGGCATGCACCTCTGTTCTGGGCATGCGCACAGCCGTGGAAAACAAAGGTTCGTCTGCCGCCACCAAGCATCTTCCAAGTCCCCCATTGGCAGAAAAACGGCGAAATAGGCAGAGATGCAAACTTCTTGTCAACAAATAGGAAAATCTGCAATAAAGACAGTCTGAGCAGGCATTAACGCATTGACTGCCGCGCACAATTTCACAGGGCGTTCCCATTTGCCAAGTGTTGTACACATGCGTGCATATTTCAGGTGTCTATTTGAACAAGAGCATTTTACGGTTGTAACATGTATTAGTTGTGTTCTCAGTGATGCCAATTTATGTTACAAAAGCCTTTCATTTCCTGCGAGTATACTCGTAGTCAGCAGTCACCGTATTAAACCTCTTAAGCTTTGACTCACAAAGCAAGTTAACTCACTGCCATGATCAGGATGTTCTCTCGCGTCTTGTCCTTGAGTACGTCAGCGGCTTGGATTTTGGTCAGTGCGATCAGGCCCATCTTGGAGGTACCGTACGTTGACGTGGGCCAGCCCTTGCTGGTAGGGTCACCCCCCTGAGCAATCCTGACGGACACGCAAAAAAGGAACGAAATGTTTCATTTCAGCCACGAGCCCGAAGCGGGACCAGGAGAGAGCAAATCTTCCCAGCAACGCAGGCTCCTTTGGTAATTACAAATGGTGCACTGGGCCAAAGGATTTCAAATTACGGGACTGCATTTGTGAAAGTGAAAGCCAATTAACGCCACTGGGCATGGCCAAGGCTTGGGAACAAGCATGGTATCAAATTGTGCACTTACTCAATGTATTCCTTCATGAGTTCTTCAACGTCCTGTTCTGTCCTTGTGGCCCGAAAGCGACCTTGGACCTCAGGGCTCATAGCCTCGAATGCATACTTCCCTCGTCGACTGGCAATATTGACAACTCTGAAGAAAAAAGGGTTCCATTGGAAAGCATAAGAAAAGAGTTGCCCTTTTCAAAACGGGGGAGTTATAAGTCTTTATTGTTACGCTATAATGGCGTAACAATCAGGGGTAACAATAGGATGACCATCGCGTACCTGCCATGGGACCGTATCAGTGGAATCAGCGCTCGACAGTTGGCCAGGGTCCCAAAGAAGTTGGTCGCCAGGGTGGCTTTGGCCTGGACGCCAATGGGCTCTGTGGCACTTTCCTGAGAGCAAAGGGGGTGGAAATGATATGGTGTGAACCTGACATCTGCCATGGAGTGTGAAAAAAGTCCATCCGAGTTGATACAGTTTTATGCTTTTGCCTGAATCTGTGTGACAAACCAAGGTGTATAAAATGCCCTACAGGGCATGCAAAAGATGCAAAGCTGTGCTTCTCGGGTGAAAACATTTCAAGAGTGCACTGGGCGTGGTGTTCCATACACCAACCCAGTTTCTTCAACTGCAAATATTGTAGGGGGTATTCCGGGCAAAACAGATATCAAACACAGTGGTTCCTTAAGGGGCTGTCTACACCCAGAGGGGCCAAATCACTCAATAGTGTGATGAAAACTGCTCTATTTGGAAATGCACCCAAGTGGTTTTTCAAAGATACCTTGCTGAGATGCATTCTGACCAATAGGCAGTCTTGTATGACATCACGGACTTAACATGTGGGACTATCGTTTATACTGTGGAAGGTAAACAAGTTTTGCATCCTGAGTGGCCTTTCACCTTGCAATGGAACTGTGCAAAATATCACATGGCATGCCACTTTCCGTTGATGCTTGCCAGTTGTTAGTTTACGTCAGCAGGCTCTGGAAGTCTCACCTTGAAGGCAATGCCGGCATTGTTGATCAGAATGTCCAATCCGCCATGTTCCTTCTCCAGGTGTGCCCGCACCTTGTCGATGCTGCTCTGCTCTAAGATGTCTAGCTGGTGGTAGGCCGGCTTCAAGCCCTCCTGGTTCAGCTTGGCCACTGCCTCCTTGCCTTCCTCCTCAATCATGGAGGTGAGGTACACCGTCCAGTTGCTGTCCAGCTTCTTGCAAAGGGCTCGCACAATGCCCAAACCGACGCCCTTGTTGGAGCCAGTGACCTTAATGTGGGTACAAAGCAATTTAATGCAAAATAGTTGAATACACACAATGTAGTATAGCATATACATACAGTACTCCACAAGCTTTGCAACTTCAAAGAGATAAATAAAAAAAGTGACTCTGCCCTTAAAACTAGGCCTAAGCCTATTTTTTAGAATTGAAACCAGGGCTGTCTGGGCAATCCTTTGACCGTCTATTTCTACATGTACCTCTATCAATCATTGTCTATCACGTCAATGCTTTGGGTCTGACGCTTAGTTGTTCGAACTCGGTCATCATCCATGATTTTCATGACAAAAACCATCATCACGTGAAAACAGCTGGATTCCACTATCATGCTTACCAAAGCAACACGATGAGCCATGTTATTAGATGTCAAGGCAGAAACACTGTCAAACGTGAAGTAGTACTACTATTAGTTAGCGCTTAACCTAAGAAACTATGTAGCCTTAGGATTCACATTCACTCGTCGTGTCACGTCAGCGGCGCCTTGGCACCGCGCGCTGCATGCGGTCAGGAACAAAAATCTGTTGAGGGCGCTCGTCTTTGGGCCGTGTCCAAAACGGACTTCCGGAGCTACGGCTAGGTCTATTGTCTGTGCGTTGCCACGCATTTCCAACGGAGCGAAGACCTAGACCTAGCTCTAGACAGCAGATTCGGATGCAACCTGAGCTGTGGTTTTTAAGCACTGATGGTTTTAAGCCAGGCACTCGGTGCATGACGTCACGCAAATCTCCGCTGCATCGAAAACCACGGACACAATGGCGACTACGTACAGACCT